CACTTTCTCTGCCACCAGATAGGCAGAATAAAAGCCAACACCAAACTGACCAATCATGGAGATGTCTGCACCAGCCTGCAGAGCCTCCATAAAGGCTTTGGTACCAGACTTGGCAATTGTTCCCAAGTTATTTATGAGATCAGCCTTGGTCATGCCGATGCCTGTGTCCACAAGAGTCAAAGTACATTCCTGGGGGTTAGGGATGATGTCAATTTTCAGCTCTTTCCCACTGTCCAGCTTGGAAGGGTCTGTCAGGCTCTCATAGCGAATCTTGTCCAGTGCATCAGAAGCATTAGAGAGCAACTCTCTAAGGAAAATTTCCTCGTTGGAATAGAAGGTATTGATGATAAGAGACATAAGTTGGGCAATCTCTGCCTGAAAGGCAAAGGTCTCCACCTCCTTCTCTCCATGGTGCATTTCCTCAGGCATCTTGATGAAAAGGGTTCCAAGTACCAAAGAGGCAAGGGCAGGGTCTAAGAGCAGGCTGCACGAGAGCTGCCAGCTGCGCGGGGGTGACTCAAGAGCTTTAAAATAATTTTTAAAGGACTATTTTACATATGTAACAGATACTATATACTCTATTAGATTTGAAAGAAATATAAATTCTGTGATCTTAAAAACAATCCTTTTGGTGAAATGCTTTTGGCCACGCACTATGTAAAACAAAGGGGAAGAAATGTTTCTAATTGTACTAATGCTGTGTGTTATTTAATGAGTAAATAAGATTTATTTTCATCTCTAAGCACTAATCAAATCTAAGATTAGAATATGTAAAGTAACATATTGGGAAAATAAAGGAATTTATTTTGGGGGCGGAGTGGTACGTCCCAAAACTTCAGAAATAAGAACTGTTCCATCTGAACTTCTACCTAAACACAGCAAACAACGGCAGCTTTCCTAGGGAATTCTCTTACTTACTCTCAGTTTATTATACAGACTGGTTATTGAAAATACCTCACAAGTTCTGGCTTCAGTCATGAGTGAAAATTCATAAACACTGGAACGGAAAATTTAAGGCAGTGAGAAATGCAGACTCAATGTTCAATACAGTATTTGTCTTGGGTTTAAGGAGAAAAATGTTGATTTGGCTATCGTCAAATCACTCCTTATGAGTTAAGTTTCATAATCCTTCATAAGCCTTTTTATGTAAACAAAGAATCACTCTTTTAAAATGAACTTTCTCCTAAAAAGAATAGCAGTACTTGAATCATACTCTTTAATGAGCCCTATTTATATAAAACAACCCTCAAATACAAAGCTGACATCTTGGTTCATTCTATAAAGAGTGAATATGGCCAAGGCATATTAAAATAACTGCAGCTAGCTGTCATAACACTGAAACACA